GTAAGTAGTCTGAGTCGTCACAAGTAGACTAGTTCAGGTGTAGATAATGCATGAGCCATGGGATTGGTTAAGTAGAGTAGAATATGGAAACATGCAAATGCAGTGTAATGAGATCCTTTACTAACAACGTTTCACCCAGTTTTGTTCAAACTATTCGATCTAAAGTCATCATCACACATCAAATCTGTCTGGCAGTTCAGATGCATCACTACATTTAATAAGCAACCATGGATTCAGTTCATCTTACTCATAAGTGGAGATATTTGAATCTAGCGCAGTAAGATCAGAAGGTACAACTAACCCAGGTATTATTTGTGCTCGCTTTGGACAGCTCGTGGATAAGAATAATAGATGGAGTGATGCTTGGAATTAAACTCCAGACAACAGTATCAGGATGTTTTCTTTAAAATGTTTTGACACTTGGGAAGATAGCCATCAAGTACATGTACCGATAAACCACTGTTGATCAGCTACCTATATCTCCACTATGACGACCAGATGCTGAAGCTTAGGTTATCTTGATTGAATTACATGGCCACTGCGTTCACCAAAGCCTGGTTGGTCACTAATGATTCAGGCTCTGAGTCAAGGAAGTCATTCACAGTCATCCATTACATATATGCCAATGATCAAGATATGAATACTGATGACATGACGGAAGGTGTGTGTGTGTGTGTGTGTGTGTGTACTCACCTATTTGTACTCACCTATTTGTGGTTGCAGGGGTCGAGTCACAGCTCCTGGCCCCGCCTCTTCGCTGATTGCTACTAGGTCCTCTCTCTCCCTGCCCCATGAGCTCTATCATACCTCGCCTTAAAACTATGTATGGTTCCTGCCTCCACCACATCACTTTCTAGGCTATTCCATGGCCTGACTACTCTATGACTGAAGAAATACTTCCTAACATCCCTTTGATTCATCTGAGTCTTCAACTTCCAATTGTGACCTCTTGTGTCTGTGTCCCATCTCTGGAACATCCCGTCTTTGTCCACCTCGTCTATTCCGCGCAGTATTTTATATGTCGTTATCATGTCTCCCCTGACCCTCCTGGCCTCCAGTGTCGTCAGGCCGATTTCCCTCAACCTTTCTTCATAGGACAATCCCGTAGCTCTGGGACTAGTCTTGTTGCAAACCTTTGCACTTTCTCTAATTTCTTGATGTGTTTGGGACTAGGTGTGGATTCCAAACTGGTGCTGCATACTCAGTATGGGCCTGACATAGATGGTGTACAGAGTCTTAAACGAATCCTTACTGAGGTATCGGAACGCTATCCGTAGGTTTGCCAGGCCCGTATGCTGCAGCAGTTATCTGATTGATGTGCGCCTCAGGAGATATGCTCGGTGTTATACTCACCCCGAGATCTTTTTCCTTTAGTGAGGTTTGCAGTCTTTGGCCATCTAAATATATTGTGTCTGCGGTCATCTTTGCCCTTCCCCAATCTTCATGACTTTGCATTTGGCAGGGTTAAATTCTAGGAGCCAGTTGCTGGACCAGGCTTGTAGCCTGTCAGATCTCTTTGTAGTCCTGCCTGATCCTCGTCCGATTCGATTCTTCTCATTAACTTCACATCGTCTGCAAACAAGGACACTTCTGAGTCTATCCCTTCCGTTATGTCGTTCACGTTTTACCAAGAACAGCACAGGTCCTAGGACTGACCCCTGTGGAACCCCGCTTGTCACAGGCGCCCACTCTGACACCTCGTCGCGTACCATGACCCTTGTTTCCTCCCTGTCAGATATTCTCTGATCCATTGCAGTGCCTTTCCTGTTATGTGTGCCTGGTCCTCTAGCTTTTGCAGTAACCTCTTGTGAGGAACTGTGTCGAAAGCCTTCTTGCAGTCCAAAAATACGCAGTCGATCCACCCCTCTCTCTCTTGTCTTACTTCTGTCACCTTGTCATAAAACTCTAGTAGGTTTGTGACACAGGATTTTCCTTCCCTGAAACCGTGCTGGTTGTCAATTATACACTTGTTTCTTTCCAGGTGCCCCACCACTCTCCTCCTGATGATCTTCTCCATGACCTTGCATACTATACACGTTAGAGATACAGGTCTGTAGTTTAGTGCCTCATGTCTGTCTCCCTTTTTAAAAATTGGACTACATTTGCCATTTTCCATACCTCAGGGAGTTGCCCAGTTTCAAATGATGTGTTGAAGATCTTTGTTAATGGCTCACACAATATCTCTGCTCCCTCTTTAAGGACCCATGGAGAGATGTTGTCTGGTCCCCACCGCCTTTGAGGTGTCAAGTTCGCATAGCAGCTTCTTCACCCCCTCCTTGGTTATATGTACCTCATCCAGCACTTGCTGGTGTGCCCCCTGTTCTGATTCTTGGAGTCCTACTGGTTTCCACTGTAAATACCTCTTTAAATCTTGTGTTGAGCTCCTGACATACCTCTCGGTCGTTTCTTGTGAATTCCCCCATCACCCTTCCTCAGTCTGATTACCTGGTCCTTGACTGTTGTTTTCCTCCTGATGTGGCTGTACAACAGCTTCGGGTCAGTCTTTACTTTTGATGCTATGTCATTTTCATATTGTCTCTGAGCCTCCCTTCTTATCTGTGCATATTCGTTTCTGGCTCTTCGGCTGATTTCTTTATTTTCCTGAGTTCTCTGTCTTCTGTACCTTTTCCATTCTCTATTACACTAGTTTTTGCCTCCCTACACCTTTGGGTGAACCAAGGACTCGTTCTGTTCTTCCCATTATTTCTGTTTCCCTTGGGAACAAACCTCTCCTCTGCCTCCTTGCATTTTGTTGCTACATAGTCCATCATTTCTTGTACTGGTTTTCCTGTCAGTTCCCTCTCCCACTAAATGTCTTGAAGGAAGTTCCTCATGCCTGAGTAGTTCCCCCTTTTGTAGTTTGGTTTTTCCCAGCCTATTCCTGCTACTCTCTCCACTTGGGCTCAACTATGTAGTCGAAGCACAGAACCACATGATCACTAGCTCCCAGGGGCCTTTCATACATGATACCCTCGATGTCCGAACTACTCATGGTGTGTGTGTGTGTGTGTGTGTGTGTGTGTGTGTGTGTGTGTGTGTGTGTGTGTGTGTGTGTGTGTGTGTGTGTGTGTGTGTGTGTGCGTGCGTGCGTGCGTGCGTGCGTGCGTGCATGCGCGTGCCTGTGCGTGTGCGTGTGTGCGTGCATGCGTGTGTGGAGTGCGTGCATGGCAGAAGCCAAGCATCACCATATAACACCTACGCTAACCTTTGATCAGCCTTTATAACAGTGTTAAACTGTGACCAGTGTGGCCCAGTGAACCATTTAACAGTGAGTTACAACCTCTTGTGCTTCGCTTTGGAGGTTGCTACACTGAAGCCAGCTTCCTAGGCCTTCAAGGCTCCTTATTCTCTCCTACACTCTATATTCTCTACACAAATGACATGCCTGAACACATTTATCAAAACACCGTCGCTGTCTCTTATCCAGACGACATTACACAACTCACACGAAAACAGTAGATTCCTCACACACAGAACACATCTCGAGGTAGACAGGATTACCGCATGGGAACTGTTATGGCGAATAAAAACCAATACCAACAAATCCAAGATCATAAAAGACGTGGCATCCGTGCTCCTGTCGAACTCAAAACCAGTACTTCACGAACACCCATACCTCAAACATTTTCTACAGTAGTACTTGGAGTTACCCTTGACTCCAGGTTGAGCACCACACATCACTTACAAAACAGCTGTTGCCGGGATTACACTCTCTCAGCTCTATAAACTGAGAGGTCCACGTCTTGCCACCAAGCTTCACCTATACACAGCAATCATCAGGACTCTCATCACTTACACTCCCCTTGCCTTAACACTGGCAGCTAAGACCAACACACTGAAGCTACAACGTATCCAGAACCGAGCGTTACGCTGGGTGCTAGTAGTGAGGTGGGATGACTATGCCACAAGCGAATCACTCTGCCTCAGGACTGGCATACCAGCTTTGAATGTGTTCTGGAAAACATTCTGTGACAGACAACTTGACAGACTTGAGACTCACCACGATTACTGGACTTCTTACCTTGATGACTATCAGTCGCCCTTACAATTTTGTCAATCTCTTCAGAGCTCTTTACGACCCTGTTCCTCCTCCTCCTCGATACACTTAATTTTTCAGCAATCTTGCTCTTCTCTTGCACTCTTCCTGCTCCTTTTCTTGCACTTTTCATGCTAAAATGTCCTAAAGCAGTTACCATCTTTTCTTTATCTATCCTTTATCTCTCCAACTCTCATAAACTGTCATTGTCGTGGAGGGTCGTTTCTCTGTGCAGTTCAGTGGAGCGTCTTGCCTAGTGTCATTTGGGATCACCACTACTCCTGCCTTTGCCCGAATCGCGTGACCGGTCTTGCAATGGGTGGGAGACAGAGAGCAGCAGCACATGACCCAACTCTTCATTTTTCTTTATTCTTTTCCTCTCCCCACCTATTCTTTAACTATCCCCACTTTCCACTCGCCCCTAGTCGGTCCTTACCTGTGAATCCCTTCTGATTCTGATTCTCAGCCTTGAAGAACTGCTAGAGGTTATGTATGCTCCTGACACAGTGGCCACATGATCAGTGGTCACATGTTGCAGGAACAGTCATACGACATCGGCTTGCCGATACTGATTTTAATGTCATATTAGCAAAAACGTTCAAGTTACTAAAATTTGGACTACGACGTGACTGAAATCACAGTAGTTGCACTTTCAGCAGAAGATACCTATGAAAACTTCATCAGAACAGAAGTCTGTGGCTCTGGCTGTTGCCAAGCTGGGACAGAACTCCAGGAAGGCAGCAATTTAGTTAAATAATATGTTGTATGTAGACACCCCTAGAGAGGATGATGTACATTAGACTGGTTTAGTATCACTAACAATGGGAAACACTCCTCGGGCATGATCAATTATTTTTTTACACAGGTCAGTTTTAAAGGATAAGAACTGTTATCCTATCTTAGCTTATTTCAAAACCCAGCCCTATCTAAGGTATACCACTACCCCTTGGGATGCGACCCACAA